GGGGGGAGGGGCGAGAGTGCGTCGCCCGCAAGTGAGGTCGATGAGGTGTGCAGTTTGGGGTGGATGGGATGGCGTGCGGTGAAGTGTGGGACGATCACAAGGAGAACGCAAGCGCCCTAACCGTCGGTGAAGAGAATATATTGCACTTCTTCATTTTGATGAATATCCGTTTGGACGTTGGAAAAATTTCGCACGTGAATACATCTAAACGGAACGTACGCGGCATGTGATGATTAATTTTCCATGTCACGTGTATGAAATAAATTGTATTACTTCACAGGGAAATTCTATTCCTTATATTATTAAATAGGGAATTTGCAAGGGCAGGAGGAATGTATCAGTTCACTTTCTGCTCCTGGAAAATTATCTTTATTTTCAATTATTATATATCTGTGTATATCTGTGCCTATTCTAATTACAAGTATGTCTTCATTTGTTAAAATCACTTTTTAAAGTTTTGGTAACCTTTCGAGTGCATTATTAAAAACTTTTTCTTACTCTTTTTGTGATATACCTTCTAGTAACAATATAATATTCCTGCAACGAAAAAGTTTTCCTAAGTAAAGAAAGTTCGAGAGCACCAATAATATTACTTTCTCTCTTGCTCCAGCTCATTCTACCATTGAATCAATCAGCGCTTATCTTATCATCATTGCCTTTAATCCTTTCGATTTTTGACACGTTCCCTTTTCGAACTGTGATTAAGTTCCAGCACCCTCCGTAAACGTTTCCTTGGTTTTGCAAACTCTAGGAATGTCTGGAAAATTGCATTACTGTCTTTTGAGATTATGTGCGTTCTAAGGAAATAGAACCGCATTTAGGATTTCGATTTCTCACTTTTCTGATATTATAGTTGTTTTTTTATTAATATTTCTTATTACTAGGTGTCAATTTTGATAAACACAAAATAGTTCCTCTTTCTTCCATTTGTGGCGTGTCAAATTAGGTAACCCTACATAAACCTACAACCCCTGCTTCCGTCCGTGATTCACCTCTCCCCCCTCCCCCCCCCTCGATCCAACAAATGGAGCAGATGGCTGTTTCATTCGACGTGACTCAGTCTCCTGGAGGGTAAATGACAATTTCCCCCGAATCAGTTCAAGATATTATAAGATATCTCTTGAAAAAAACAAGTTACATCGAGAATATTCTAGAAGAATTCTAAACGAGCTCATGTTTTCTATGGTTTCAATTCACCTACGACGACATTGGTGAAACATGAACATTTACATGAATCATTACGACTTGACTCTTCAGATTGACGATAATTAGAAACCAAATTGAAAATGAAACAAAAATGAAAAACTATTATTTTAATAGATACTTTTTCATGAAATATAGTTATCCGAAAATTGATGAGCCGGGCCGTAATGTGTTCAAAATTTCTTTTTATAATGAACGAACAAAGTACAAATTAAATTCTTAAATTTAAGAGTAAGCACCGGAGCCCGCGCTAAGCTAATATTTATATAATTATATATACTATTTTGTAATAAGCTTCGCACATGTGCTACATTATGTTTGTAAGATGGTAAATTCAGACACCCTACCAAAATATATATTTTCCTTTTATCTTTTTCCTTTTGTCTATATTGTACACCGTTATTCCAAAGTTCAAAAGTATTTCACAGTTAATCATGTTCAAATTTTCAAAATTACATCAGAAGACCATCGGGGGAATGATACCGGGATTCTGGAATAAAAGTGTTCCCTTCTTTGGTTTGATAATTGCATTTATAAATCAAGAACAAGATTAATTAAGTGCAGACGTTTTTACCTGTTTACAAAGACTGAATCAATATCGTTCTCTGACGCAAATGATTATCATAAACCTGTGTTTTTCACCTAAATAGGGTGCGCCCGCGAAGAGTTCATATTGCAAGTCATACGAGCAATCGGGAACACGGAAACGCCTGTATTTGTTTGCGATCCCGTTAGGATGTAATTTTGCCACTATTCTGTTCATAAAATGTTCAGGTTACATTTTATTTATTTATTCATTTAACAGGTTGTAAAATATACAAAATAATGTATCAACGATACGTCATTTCGCGAATGACTTTTTCTCTTTGTTTAAAGATTGAATATTGAAGTAATATAATTCCGTTTTGTTTGTTAGTTTGAAAAGAGAGTGCTGTGCCATGAGCCTCTTGTAGTGCAAGGTACGAGGAGTAAAATAAATGTATGTTCTTGAGAGACAAATTTAATTCCACTAGGTAGCGAGGTCTAATGGAGTCTCTGGAGTGTATTTTTTTTAATTCTCCAGTGACTTAGATGATATTATTATTATTATTGTCACTATACAAAGGAAAGCGAAAAGGTTTAAATGGAATATCAGGATATTGCACGGTTGCTCAAACAACACATATTATATTATTTTAATGAGATATTTTTGCAAGAAAACGGAAACAGAATGACTTATGCGAATGTAAGTAAGTTGTAATAACAGTCAAATAACAGTCACAACAAAAGTTAACAGTGTTTAATTCTCTCAAAATCAAAATACTAGTTGATGTTTCTTAGAACAACCAATAATTTCAGGGACAGTAAATCATTTTAGTTTATTATTATTATTATTATTATTATTATTATTATTATTATTATTATTATTATTATTATTATTATCCCCTTAATTTACAACTAACGATATTGGGTTTCAATTAATTAAAACTCTACTCCAGTTTGCATCCACCTTCTTACGGACTCTGCAGGATCTAGTGACTGTGGGGGCCTCAAAAATACATTTCGGGCTGTTCCCGATAACGCGAAGACATGTCCTTGTTAGGTGCAACCAACATCGCCAACTAATGTCAGTTAATTCAATAAAAATTAGTTAATTATCGTTAATTTTTTTAATATACAGCACAAGTAAAATAAATACAAATGTTTAATTGTGCTATAATTTATTTTCAATTCTTGCATTTACAGGGGGGGTTGTCGCAAGCGTTAAGTAATTATTTAGGAGGGTGGTTCAAGCGCGCGTTACAGGTGTGTTCCAAGGGGGAGATGAAGTATTGAAAATACTCGAAATTTGAGTTATGTAATTTATGGACGGGCCCTTACGTTCAGTTCAATCTTGGTCGTACAATGTAATACACAGTCCAACAAAATGGTTTCTGTGAATGTTCGTGCTACTTACCCATGTGTGTGTAGGAGTATGTGTTTGGAACTTTAAGATATTTATTATTATTATTATTATTATTATTATTATTATTATTATTACACATCGCGTGAGTGATGAGGTTTGCGGAGGAAAGAAGCGAGTGGGGCGGGGGTGCCGGAGCGTGACGCAACTCGATGCGTGCGTAGGAACTCCCTAAGACCTTGGGAACCCTGGCGGCGCCTCGGTGTTTTTCTCAGGCGCAGCTTAAGACGATGCGAGCCAGGGCTATTGTCTTATTGTCACCCAGGAATGTCGAGAGGCGTCTTAAAACCTGCCCTGGAATTTGGGTTAAAAGTATAACATGGTAATATAGTACCGGCAACATGGTAATGTATCAATAGATACATTTTCTCTTATACACATATGCTCTCCTATTGTAAAAAATACGTTTCATCGTCGATATATTTACTAACGTGGTAACTCAATTTTTCGGATCCAAAAGAGACAGTTTTTTAAGTTCGCTTTTTAACTACTTGGTCATGTAATTACCACTTTGCTTTTTTCCCCTTGGTGATAACTATGGGGGGAACACGACACGAATGGACAATATAAAGGCGTACCCAATCACACACATGGCCGAGGCGGGACTCGAACCCAGGATCCTTCCGTCTGAGATCGCCACTGCCCTACTACCTAAGCGATCTTCGCTGTTCGGATCGGCAAAAGCGACATTTGTAATACCTTTATGGAACATCACAAGTCATCAAATGGGATGCGTACCCGTCAAATCTCTCTCTCGGTCAGATAGTCATGTGAGTCAGATGTACGTTCGTAATATTACGCGTTTAGGTTTTGTTCTATATATTTTATTTTTCCTATTTGCAGTAGTAGCAGGTCACCCAAAATGAAGTGAAAGGAGGCTGGTGCAAGCAAACATGTATTTGCATGCCTGACGCTGCCTGCATTTCATGTTTCTTCCGTACGTTAAATGAATCCATTTAGAACTGGGGTAATTTATACAATTCTCATACTAAATGAGAAATGTATAAATATTTGTTCGTCATGTCCCCTTAAACAGTGACCTAAAAGTATCTCTGTCTCTGATATTAAAATGCATCTCTTAAGTAGTTTGGTAATAACATCGCAAATTCCAAATTACTCATGTTACCGATTTTATAACTTCTTCGAAAGCCCATTCGAAGTCTAACAATTAGATTTAAATGATTGTTGGAATGTTTGTATGTTTCAGTTTTGCAATATTCTGTGTATATCTCGTATGAATATTATTATCTATCATTTTTTTATAGAATATTCACATGCGTTAGCCTGTGAGTCTTTCGGCACACATAATATACAATATATGTGTATAACGAAATATACAATTTATTTTAGAGCTGAAGAGTTGAATTCGAAAAAATGTAGCTAATGCATCGTATGGAAAATTAATTAAATTGGTTTGACGTAGGTGAGCTTTATTGTTGACGTGCAAGGTTATGAAGAATGCAAGAAATGTTTTGGAAGTTTTCGTTTGATTCTATTACGGCGAGGGTTATGTTTTCCTAGCTGCAAATGGAGTGCAGATGGTCGATCTATCATTTGAAAAATTATGTTTGTACATACGTAACAATTGCTTGCACTTTCTGTGTCACGTGAAGGAACAGTTTCCTCTGTGTACCTACATTTATCTGAAATATGAGTTGCCATTTTTTTCTTAGAAGTGTCTTATCAATTTCAAACAAATTGTCTTTGAACCTGGAGAAAGAACAAGGAAATTTTGTTCTTATGAATCCAAATAATGTAATATTTTTTTAAA